GGGAGTCTTTTTTCATCAAGAAGCAGGTAACTGCAGGTTCTCTAAGTGGCCTGGGTTCTCATGAAAATRTTCTTCATTAGTAATTTAGTTTAGTGTGGATGTTCTTCAATAGCTCCTAATAAAACAGACTCTTTGCTAAAGTTTTAATGAGAATAAACCTCATACAYTCTGCTAAAGTAAATGACTTCTGTAAAGCCACACAAATGTTATTGAAGAGAGTGGAATTTCAGGAGTAAACGTCATCGAGTAAGTCATGCTGGTGGTGTCACCCCTTCCACAAAACACAATGTCCTTTCGTAACATAAACATTTTTCCTAAGAAAATGTCATTTGTCAGTCTTCCTGCTGTCACTCCTGGCATTCCTGTTCTAATTAAACTAGACAAATACAGCTCGAAGTATCGAGCARGTTGGTCAGTCTCATCTGGCTTTTACTGTGTTTCTTGGAAATCTCAAAGAAATTAGTTTGGGGCTGTGAGAGTTTCCCTGTTTATTCCCAGTGGTTAGGTAAAACCAGTGAGGCAGGAAGGAATTTTGGAAAGTGAAGGACTCGATAGGGGGAGCGCTTCAATAATTCACTCGTGGTCGACATCCTCTCAATCAGCCCATAAAGCATTAAGTGTAGTCTTGAGTCTTTAGAATTTAAATCAAGCACATCAGTGTTTTAGAGGGTTTTCTCATTAAAATAACCAGCTGAATGATTCTGAATGCCTTGAGAGGCACATTTGTGAAAGATGACATACAAAGGAAGGGTATTATGAACTGTTAGGTATAGGCATATGAAGGCTGTGTTGTTACCTCAGCCATGAAGCTATCTCCTCATGGCTGGAGATGACAGAAAAGATTTGGCTTTTGGCCAGACTTTTGAAGTCAGGAAGATGAAACTCATGGTGATAAGTATACTTTTTTTCAAAAAGATTATCATGATATTCCTGCAGTGGTTCTGCCTTTCGATTACAAAGCATGCTTAGCACTACCACAACTYGGTCATAGTCATCAGAGAGAGGAGGTCTTCTTGACAGAATCCTAGGCAGTTCTAACGTGCTCTATCTCAACGCTGGCCTCTCCACGCACTATTACTCAACTAGATACTCCCGGCTGGGTCAAGGAAGAAGYCAGATCCTCTTGATTTCACAAGAGGAAGGATGACCCAAGGGCGGAGGTAGCAAGTGTGGTGAGGATAACAGGCCTTGGTGTCCTGCTCTGTCACTGCTGCTCTGAGTGACCCATGGGAACAACTTAACCCCAGGTTTACAGTGCTGCCAAGTGGCCTGGCCCTGGGCCATAAATGTAGCTGTGGGTGCGAGGGTCTCTCCTGATGGAAAACTAGAACTTTTAGAAGATTAGAACATGTAAAACAAGARCGTTTGAGGACAGTGACATTAAACCCTGAATCCCAGTGTCTCATTTCCCATCACTTAAATGGCAACTATTTTCTAATCTAAAATTTGAATTTTTGAWTTCAATAATGATTTATCACTGGCTTAAATCTTTTGCCCTCAACTGGGAGATCAGTAGGAGCAAAGTCCAGCCCCTTGCATCCTTCAACCCTGCCTCCTCTCCCATATTCCCATTCCTTTTGAACCTGCTCATCCACAAGCAGCGTTTCTGCTCACAGCCTGATTATGCAGTAGCCAAGAGCAGGATGAGAGTGGTTTKTGAAGAGATCAAGCAACAATTGACAGATCAAGGCTGGGAATAAGCCTTCTTTTATCTAGAGAAACTAAAATGAAAATGATTGGGAAATGTTTTTTATTGCTTCCCCAGAGGAGACGATTAGGAAACCTGAAAGCAAAGACTGTTATATCGAGTGAATTGTTTGAATTTTAACTGAGAATGTCGAGGCTCAAATTAAAAGCTGTTCCGGACAGCAGGAGGGGTTCGTCCATTTTTTTAATTTGTGTTTTCTTATTTGTAGTAAATGTATTTGCATAATTTTTGCATTCGAAGTTTCCCGACTGGGACTAATTATCCACTGTGTTCGGCACCATACAAGCATGCAACAGAGACAACCTCTGATCTGAACGATTCACAATCCAATCCTCAGTTTCATCAAATAACCCTTGATAAGTCAGAGTGTTCATTTTTTTTTCCCCCCGTTTCTAAGAAGAGGGCTCTTATCCAAACCGCCTCAGTGGCCATTTCAGAAAACAGAACAAGGAAATACTGTCCCCTGGTTAGAGCTAAGGCCTGGGGTTTGCAAATCCAAGCCAAATGTCCTTAGGCTGGAACAGGCTTCATGTCTGACATGAAAAAAGTCCCTTCAGCCTCTCTGTGCCTTGGCTACCTGTGTGTAAAATGGTCCTGGTGCTTCCCTCCCTTCTAGGGAAGGTGTGGGACTAAGGGCTTTAAGAACTGTAATGGTCAGTAATGCTACATAATGGGAGTCCTGTAAGAATTTAAGAGAGAAATAATATTTACAATCTTTTATCACTGCAAGCAGCAAAACACAGGCTCTCCGGACTGGATGGACGGGTTGTGCAGTGCAGTTGGCTTTCCCAGTTGACGCAGGAATGTTTATGGTTTCCAGCAATAACACTCAACCCTTGCAAGGTCAAATGTGTTTCTCTGGAGAACTGGCTGACTTTTTACTATTCCTGATAACATCACTGCTTATAAAAGCATATTCTTGCCTCACTGTCAGGTGCTCARAGTAACCTCATTGTGCTTAACCTATTGCTCACTCATAAAGGATTGATGTATTTGCTCAAATGCAATTCTGCATCACAAGCTCAGCCACCAAGAGTAACATGTAAATTATACAACATGCTGAGATTTAGGTATCAAGATGGTGTAATGGGCAATGCTGTAACTGCTGGTTGTGGCCAGTAACAACAGAGGAGCAAACATGACTTTTATCAGGTATATCACAAATCCTTGAGCTTGTCCTCTTTATTTGCAGCAGGCAGAGCCTCCTCRATGCAGGAGTGGGGCCATTGGTGGTACAGACCCCCTCTGGAAGGAGAACCTGGTGCTGAAAAGCAGAAGGCTAAATAATTTCTTTTCCTGCTATTTCTGTACTCATTAAAATGTAACCACCTGGGCTGGTGCTGCTTGATGAGCTGCATTTTAGGGTTCACTTCAGCACAACAAGGGGGAGTTCCCTGCGACCTGAGCACAACTAGACACTGATGGCACCGTGGTGAGYCCTGAGCACTGCTCCACGCTCCAGCAAGCCCCTGGGGACACAGCAGGGACGGGGAGGAAGAGCCGGTCCCTCTCCAGTGTCCCAGGTTGGGTTCCAAGCACTGCTGTGCTGAGCTCTTTCCAAGCACTGCTGTGATGAGCTCTTTCCTGGGCTGCTGGATCGAACTATATCAGGGAAGTGATATAGTGCAGTGCCTGCAGTGCCCAAGACTAATACATAGGAAGAAAAACTACCTGAAAAGCAAGAGCAGCTACCACGTGCAGGACACTAGTGGCATTTCAAAGATGATGAAATAYGGAAAATGTGTCTGCCAAGATCACAGAGACTGATATTGGTTCACTAAGTATTCACATGCATTAAAGCTGCCTGCATGCACCAGGGGCTTCCATTTAGCYTCTCCCAGTTGAAACACTCTGTCACATCTTAAAATTACCTGAAAAGGGAGCACGTGTAGCTTGAGCCAGGTTCTCTTTCCCTTCCCAACTCCAGTCTATCTCCAGGCTCTCAGGCAATCTCTGTGATGCAAAAGAATACCCTAACTTCCTTCCAAAATGGATCTCTAGCAGCAAAAAGCTCATTAAACACCACTCATGTTCACACTCCATGGGGTGCTCAGGTGGAAAAGGCAGAGGCTTGAAGTGTGCAGGAGAGAATTATATTCTGCAGAGCCAAAAAAGAGCAGCGTGAACACCAGAGAGACAGCACGAGTTACCTGATTTATAATAAGTAGGCAGCTGTCGTATGGAAAAAGGTGCTCCAGTAGGCACCTCACCACCAAGAAGTGCTTTGCTGACAGTGTGGGTCTCTGGCATGGGCAGAGTTAAAGGGGCAGGTGGAAAGGGAGTGAGAAATAAAGAGCAGGYGAGGGTGGCATGAGATGCCTGGGTGAGGGATGGTGGGAAGGAAGGAGTCATAAGTGGGTCAAAAAAGTCAAATGAGGAATGTGTGGCTTGGGGAAGGATGTGCAAGAAATAAAGGATGTGCAAAAGGCATGGAGAGGCTGGTAGCTGGAAAGAGAGGTGGAAGCCCTACCTCCTGGGTGTGCTGTGCTCCTCCTGGAGCTCTTCCAAGCAGGAGGACACAAGGCTGTGCTTTTCTATAGGTGCTGAAGCAAGACAGGGCTGCAGCCGTGAAGGCAAGGCGATTTCCTCAGTCCCATCATGATTCTATGTCCTCAGAAAAGCCTCTCTCAGGTGCCGTTTTTCAGCTTCACAGAGGGGAAAATCCAAATGTTCACACTGTCCTGGAATGGCCTCTCTGGATACTGGCTTTGAAGTCAGCCTATAAGTAAAGTCAAAGAAAGGGCAAGCACAGAGCAGAGGGAAGGCTGCAGCGGGTGAAATCCTGGCATGCAGGAAGAATAAATAACATTGCTAAACAACAAAAATACCCCGTGTCCATTTAGAACAGTACAGCAGAATGGTTTCTAGGGAATAAACCTATTATTTCCAGACCTAGCTAAACTCCTACACATAGTTTGGTTAGGACCTATCTAATTATAGGAGCATGGAAAAGTACTGCCAGCAACACCAGACTGCAAAGTATTTCACTTTGTAAATGTATTCATGTCTTGGTTGAACAATAACAATCTCTGGGGCAGCCTGTTTGCATCTAACATGATGATAGCTCTGTGATAGGATGCAGGGAGGTGAACACAAGCAAGGGGTGTTGGGGTAGYAGCTGTGGTCTTGGGATGAGCATGGGGATGCGTTTTCAGAGCTCTTGGCAAAATAAGCTTAATGCCAGCACGGGAGCACTGTATTGTGAATCACCATCACTCGAGAGTTTAAAAGTTTCCCTCTGTTAAAGAGTAGCCTCCAGGACCACACTGGTGCTGCAGGAACCCGTGAGGATTTGGATGAGATGGTAAATGCTGCTCTCTCCGGGGCAGGAATGCTGTTGGAGCAAAAAACTTGGACCTTCAAGTCAAGGTAGGCACAAAATCATCATCCCTCCCCAGCAAAGTGCCCCATTGCTCCCTGTTTTCAGCCCTCCGGGTCTTTCATATCCTGACAGAGAAGGAGAGATCCTGGCCTGAAATCTTCGGTGGGGGAAAAGCCAGCCTGCCGAACAAACTCACTGCCTTCCTTCCAACATGAGGAGCCTCTGAATCGAGGGGGAGCTTAATTAAAATGAGTGAAGATCATAAAGGTGTGGGAGAGAGAAAATAGGGATTCCAGCCACGCTGGTGCCAGCAGCACAAGTATCCACAACACAAATTTCTCAGGGCTTCTCAGCAACTAGTGCTAAACCCCACTCCCATCAAGTGAGACTTGCAAAACTTCTCTTACAAGGGCTATTTAAATTTTCACTGTAAAACTTTCTTAAGAAATGTTTGTTCCTTGTTCCTTTGACCTTCCTTCCAGCACAAAGAAGATATTTTTGCAGCATAGTTCGAGTAACAACAACTCTGTATACTGTTTTTTCACCATGGACTTTGACACACCAAGTGGTCCATGCAATCTGAGAGCTGAGGCCAACTTGAGGTATACAGGACTCTCTTAGAAAGCTTGGATATTGTTTGAAAAAAAAGCTTAAAATGACTTTTTATRAAGATATTGCATCTGATGTGGTAGGAAAAAAAATAGGGACCTTGAAACATTTTTCTTCCTCTTTTTAACTTTCTGTAGAAAGCCAAATATGATCCAAGTCACTGGCTGTACTGAATTAAAGTTCTCCTTCAATGAACTGAAAACACCTTAAGGAAGATGAAAGCTGACTATTATAGAGACACACCGAAATTCTGAGGGAAGAATTAAGAGGCTGCCCAGAAGGATAATTGGGTTTTAAAGYGCTGAAAGCGACTCTGGAGGAGCAGGTCCTGGAAGGCTCTCACAGCAGCGCTGGACGTTACCTCCCAGCAACCTGCACCAGCAGGACAGACCTGCCCTCCAGGGAGACTTGTCTTCTCTGAACGTCCTTTGGACGAATATCTTCCTTCCCTTTGAGCAACTTGCCCTCATTTGAGACCAGCCTGTTTTGATCATGAACCCTGCCAAGAAGGGTGGTAGCCAGTGGACCACCTCAGCCTTCTGATATTAAACCAGACATGACGCTGGGTGTCTTAGTTTCTGCCAGATCGTGGGCTAACCATGATTCACGGCTTTGAGCCATGAAGGAAAACTGACTCCTTGCACTGCAATTTGGAGAGCCAAGCGATGAGTCTGTTAGGGCAAGTCTCTCCTCATCCCACCCAGGAGATGATGATCGTGATGAGAAATCACATCGCTGGAGGTCTTAGGGTACTCCATGCAAGCAGCAACACACGTCCTGCCTTTCTTTGGCTGCTTTAACCATAAAAATTAGCAGCAGAACAGAGTGATGCTGAGGCTTCACAGGTAGACACCATGCAAACTGGTTAACTAAATGTGAGTGGGTATAAATGTGCATCCATGGACTTATTGCCCACTGGAATCTGATGAAAACAATTCTCACCCATGAAACAACACTGCACAGAACTTCTACAGAAGCACTGGGAAGCCTGGCGCCCTGAAGACAAGGATAGAAACACAGCAAAAAGTAAAAAGATGGGCAATTTTTAATGAGACTCTGCTGCAGTCAGTCACCTCCACTGCCTGGCTGGTTTTCACGGGAAGTGGGATCCTGCAAGCTTTGTTCTTTCTATATCCCGCACTGACAAGATACCATTTCTGTTCTACAGTGTCTCTTGATTTCTTTGGGATTTGTAAAGGAAAGCCAACTAACTTAAACTGCAATTAATTTATCGCTAGGTGCATTACCCCGAGATTGCTCAACTACAAAATAATTTGCTCCTGTCTTTGGTGGGGAGAGTTTTTGACATAAAGACATCAATATGCTTTTATTTTTCCTGAAAGCTGCTGGAGCGGTAGGTAAAGAACAACTGTGTCCAGGCACTTGGTGAGAAAACTGTTGCACAACCATGGGGTTGGCCAAGTCAAGCCAGAAATGTTTCAAAATCACAAAAATGTTTTTAAAATCTACCATTTATTGAATTATATATGTTAATGCGTGCATTTGCATACCTATTTGCAACAGGATGACTTGAACCAATTCACTGAGGTGTTAATCAATGTTTTTCTAGGCTTCCTCCGAGATTTATTTCTGAAACACGAGTGATATTTTATTATCCACTCATCATAATGAATAGCTTTTCCCAGGTGTTCAATGGCCTGAGCTGATTGGGAATACTAAAGCTGATGCCACTTATGGCTTTTTTTGAAATGATGAAGTTAAAAAAAGCCCAGTTTTAGTTGAGCTGTGCTTTTGCGGTGCTTGAGCCAGCAGTTGTGCAACTGTTTGGGGCAAAGCCCTTCGGCCTCAGTGTCCTGGTGCCTTGAGTGACCTGGGGTGGTCGCTCCCGTCCTTCCTGCAGAGACCACATGGATCCCAGGGAAATAGCTGGGTACGGGGCTACCGGGAGCTGTGGTTGATCCCTGGCCTGAAAGGATGCTGGGTCTGAGTAAGCTGGGTATGTGCGGCAAGAGGTCACTTTGAGGGGAGATATGCATGGGAAAAAAGGAAAGATGGTTTACAAACAGTTGAAATACTCTTTGCAAATCACTCAAGATTGTGTAAACCAGCTGGGGCCAGATGCCTCGAGGCAAAAAGCAGACCTTTGTATAGAGCCCCGAGAAGCCAGGCTTTGCTACACTACCCCAGCGCTCTGGTTTATGCAGCCCTCAGATCAGAAAAAAAATGGGGTTTTATCGGTCTGTATTAAAATCTTTTTTCCCTGTGCTTAGGAAAGGGGTTTGTTTCAAGACCTTTCGCCTTGTAAGCTCTGTATAAGGCCAATAGCTTTAATCATATTGGAATAAATTTGATTTGGAAAGAACAGAACTTTAAGTCGGGAAATGTAGCAGGCAATAGGATAAGAGTCAGTCTAATGCACTGGTTCTCATTTCCTCTATTTGACTARGCAAAACCGGGCCCAGACACTTATTGCTTAATGAAATGTCATCAGGCAGCATCAAACAGATTAATTTCCTGAGCTAATGAACAAGCCTGGAATATCTTTTCAGTCTGCATCTTCCACAAATCCTGAACCAAAGTGTGTCAAGTGAAACAGAAAACATGTAGAAAGATGTTCTGCTGAGGAACCCCTGTGGCTCTTCCTCCCCAAACTCACCTTTGCTGCTAATAATGGCTGTGATGAGAGGAAAATTTGACTCCTGAACACCAAAAATGGGTTCAGCTCATAAAATTCCCTGCCAAAGCCTGGGGAACACAACCTCCAGCATTGGACAGTGGGAAAGGTGACTTCAGGAGAGTGTCAGCACCACTTTGGTGTCAGAGATGTAGAGAGAGGGATTCACTCAAACCCCCACTAAAAATCAGGAGGGTTTGAGTGACATACACTGAGTCTAAAAGCAAAGAACTTACCAAGAGACAAGTTAATTTGTTATTTAATGATTTCCCTGGCAGAAGTGCACTGTACCTGCTGAGTCAGGAGCAAAAACCTGCCTTTGGTTGAGCTTCAAAAGAAATCCCGTGGAAGCAGCACAGAATGATGTCCCAAGGCACAGAAAACATCCCGAGAAACCTGCCAGATGTCTCCCAAGGATGTCTGAGAGGAGAGAGCCCTGCAGATAAAACAGTAAATAAGGAAATCAGTAAAAAGTGATTGATGGACCGGGCCATCAATAAGAAAATTTTTTCTTCTATTATAGCAATAGAAACACTGAATTAGATCAACAAGGGAAGCTGCAAGGCACTGAAAAGGCAGAATGCCCTGCAGACTTCTCGTTCCAAGGCTGTAATTGAAAAGCCAAATCAAGTCAGTGTGTGCACTGATTTATATGATCTAAGCATAGTCATTAAACAAGAATGTTATCTGATGAAATTTGCTAGCGCGATGGCCAAGCTTTTATAAGTAAAAAAAAGAAATATTTCTGGTATTAAAAATGCAAGGCATGTATTTTGGCAGGTAAAATTAGATGAGTCATTGTTTAAGACAGTGACTTTTAATATATGTGGATGTTAAATGAATGATGTTTGATTATAATTCCTCTCCTGAGATATTTATGGGTATAATTAGACCGATATTTTAGAAATTAAAGGTGATGAAGTTATAATGAAAGATGCTTTCATTTCAGTGAGTCTTAAAAAATACAATGACTGCGATGAAAGAAGTGTCCCTGGAAGAGAAGGCACCCCAAGGAAGACCAATATTTCTAAAGAAAGAATAAATACAAATAAATACCAGAATCTGCACTCCAGAATTTTCAAGTTGCTTACAAAATTTGCAGCTGATGCGAGACTGCACAGCACAACGTATGCAGCATTTATTGCTAATTAGCATTTCCTAAAGGAAAATATTGAATGTCACTGGGGAAAACAATGTAATCAGAGATAACACGACAGATCACTGTTCCCACTGCTTTTACATATGACTTAACTATTCAGTCACGGGCATTGCAGCTCGCGCACTGATAATATGCTCCCTAGGGAGTGGAGATTTTGCAAGAGTTCCTGCCAATTGCTTGGTAGCTCTCAGTATTTCCTTTTTCCAGCAGTGCAGCTCTGACAGGGGGACACTGAAAACACGTTTTTGTAAGTCTGTGCTGGAAAATCTTAGCCACATCATTGACAACGTTGGGATGGTCTAGTCAGAAGGTGGCACATGGATCAACTTACCCATCTCATGCAGCTGCTCTTCCAAGCAGACCAGTAAATGGGTCCGTTCAAGTAAAAGGGACAACAGTTGAGCCTTGGAGGAAAAATGGGATCATGTAGCAAAGAAACTCATGCCCCAACATCCTGGTTTTCTAGGACACAAGACTTGGATCTTCATGGTTTTATGTGCAGGGGAAGGCGCTGTGCGTGCACTGTGCCACTGATGCTGCAAGGCCAGGCTGTTTGGCATGAATGGGTAGCAGGATCTCTCACCTGCAGCAGTGCAGGGGGCCAGCACAGCAAGTGCAGGTCCCAAACACCTTGGGGGAGCAGCTACCCGCGGGTGCTCTCCCATAGTCTGATCAGCTCCTGGTTTTCAAAAGCAAGTGCCATATTTAACAACTTAGGAATTCCTTGCTGAAATTTCTGTTTGCTTCATGAATATGAGAATCAACCTGCACCTCGTAAGACCATAAARACACTACAGATAGAAGGTTCCTAAAGCACATGGAAATACCTGGCAAGCCATGTTTCGTTTTTAACATCTACCTACAAGTATCTGTGGCATAGCTTTATTTAATTCCACAGGTGCCTGAGAATCCCTTGCTTTTCCAGCCAGACCACTCCTATGAAAATATGTGTAGGCGATCACAGATGCATCAGCAAATGTTTTGTGAGCATGTCTGACTCTACCATATCTTCCAAGAATCCAGAAACCTTTCAGGGAAGAGGGGCTGATGGCACGTGCCTATTGAGCCTTTACATCCCCCAGCACAGAGCGGGGCCAGCAGGGAACACACGGGGTCCTGGAGACAGCGCCAACCCCAGGACACTCTTCTCAAACATTGGGCATCTTTCTAATAATACATTCATAAAAGCCATGAGTGACGTTGGTCCAAAGCAGAGAGACCAGCGTTGTGTGTCCACACAGCTCAGGCTCCCCCAAATAGGTCTACGAGGAGGGCTACAAACCTCAACAGAGGATTAAAGACATTTTACTTGTCACTTGAGCAAAGACAGAGCAGCTGAGCCCGAAATAGCTCCTTCGGAGAAGGTGTTAGTTTGGGAGAGGCTGCCAGGCAGGGCRAGGGCTGCAAATAGCCTGTGTGTCGACTGCTGACTGTGCTCCATCGACTACACTTATATTTTGGCTCAGGTCTCTGGTGTGTGAAGACAACAGACACATTCATTCAGAGCGCTGAGATAGCCAAGAGAGGGTTAAATTATTGCAAGAAAAAATAGACAYCAGCTCACTGAACATCTATTCATATTTTCTAGGCAAAGTTGAGCTAACCAA